AAAAAGTATTCTATACGTTGACCCTAATAACCAGCTATCACCATACCAAATTTTATCAAAATCCCTCCAGTGATTTTTCTGTGATGCGGTAACAGACAGACAGACAAAAATTCTAAAAACTAAGATTCGACCTCTGTATCCATAATAATGACTATTTCAATAAGATTTTCCAAAAAATAATGTACAGATTCGACTCAGAATTTTATTATATGTATAGATAATCTACTTCCCCTAATATACCCAAACTGTAATCAATTGCAGTGTTCATTGAAATTTTAAACGGAGGTAATAAAACATAATTTATCAAAACCCCCAAAAGATATTTTATCTTAACTGAATAAAGGCAAGATAACAAAAGAACGGAGATCTTCCGCAAGATATTTCCTGAAAAAATATGGAACAATAAAGATCAGTGTAATTTCGTTGGTCGGCTGAGTAGTTAACTTGGAAGTTCCTGTCGAGCGGCATTAAAAGTTTTCCTTCTGATAGAGCCGAGTTTGGACCATCGCGATAGCGGCTTTAGAATAGCGTCTTTATTTAAAGCTTATACAAAAATATACAATGGAAGTTTAAAATTTATTATTTTTGTATACAGCAGCTACAAATTGAGGATCGTAGTGGAATGTGGGGTAATTGAACTTGTACTGTCTGTTTAGCATGGTTGGGGGTTCGAGTTCCGTTCATGTGAATATCAGTAATAGTATATTAGTATTGAGTATACAGATATCAAATGAATGAGAATGGTACAAAGTCAAACTTGATCAAGCGTGAGTCGGACTTGCACACAGAGAGTGCATGTGTATGTATTAAGTAATTTCTTATAAAATAATCAGGCAAAAGTAACTTACTTCTAGTACATTTTTTAATAATCAAAGATATCATACAATAAATAAATAATAATAATAACCAATATTAACATACATCACCATCTAGTTCCATGGTTAGCTACGAGGCTTGTGTTATGGATACCGGATAGTTGATACACTACACATTAAAAATATAAACACCACTGACTGGAGTACAAACATTCGTGCTCATCACACAAATGAATGCTCCCAGCGGGACTCAAACCTGCGACTGCTAGCATAACATGTAAGGTCACTACAGACTGAACCAAATGTGTCGTCAATGTGTTTAAAATTGAATTTTTATTATTTTATATGCTTCATTCTTTAACAAATTTCATTTTTACGTTGCTGAAAATGTTTCTATAATGTGTTTGTAAAATTAGAAAATATAAACGAAATCAAAGGATCCTGTGTCAGAATTTATGAAAGGGAAAATGCCCCGCTAACTTCCTGTAAGGGATGACGTCCATCATCCCTGAGAGGGCCGTTTACCGCATCTGATGTACGCTGTAATGTGGGGGTTGGAAAGTATAAAATAGTGATAAACAATTGACTTAAAACTCTTGAATTAATCTTCCTTACTAAAAAAAAAATCATATTGGATTCCACGACACCTTTAAAACTAAACTATTTGTATGTCTGTATATTTGTTTAATAATAATTTAACTAAAAAAATGATAAGTTGTATGAAGTAAATAGTTTTTTGTTTCCACTATTTAACTAAATTAAGACAAAATCTATCAATAAAACACGACTGACATATTAGAACTGTACTTAAAAATTCTATATATATAGTAGTGGCAAGTGATAGATTCACGACATACGTAGTGACATTTAATTTAAATTTTTAACATGTGACGATTCTAAAGTGCTTGTAAAAGTCTATTTGAATAAAGTATATTTTGATTTGTACTAGCATTTTCTTCTGGCTTCACTCAGCTCCTATATAATTACATTAGATTACCTAGATTAGTAACCCACATCACTTTTTTGTCCATAAATTACATACAACTAGCGACTCACCCTTGCTTCGCTCGGTTTTGTCTCTAGGTACCTTTTAACGGTAAGTATGGAATAGATACATATATTATATATACATAGGTACAAAATAAACAGTTCTGAACTTTTAGATATTCCACCTGTTTTTTTTGGATTTTCTCTAGATTTTTTTATACTTAAAAAACCCCTGACACACACCCAACAAGACAAAAAGAATTATTCAAATTGGTCCAACCATTTTTGAGTCTTAGTGAGACTAGCAAAAAGCGCAGCTTTGCGAGATCTCGCGAACTTTTGCAAATCTGCCATCTTCATACATCATAAGCGATTTAAAATATTCATTATTAGAAATTTAATTTAAGGATTAAAAAATAAAAGAAATCATCAGGAAAAATGGTTTTTATTAAAACCTGCTCTCATCCATGGGAAATGTTCCGGTCACAGAAACGACGACGCTATGTACGAGTATGTACAGAGGTGGAAGTGCGACACGATGATTCAATCATTACATATAAACAAACAATACATTATATATATATATATATATATATATATATATATATATATATATAATAAAATTAAGATACAATAGGTTTGTTATTTGGTAATAAATAATAATTTAAGCTCACATAAAAATTAAGTCAGAAGAAAATAAGAAAGTATTTCTTTGATATTCTACATACTGTTTATTGGAAACATGTAGAGCTTTTTTGATTAAACTTTTGTTGAAATATAGCGCGAAACAGATATTCAATGCTTTTTAAATTACAATGATTTAAACATGGGATAGAAAAGTTGGGATGATTTCTGATAAAAAGTTGTTATTTTTAAAAAGTATGGGATATTTAAATGAATTTATCAAATGAGATAATATATTATGTACATTCAATAAGTGATATCTAAAGTATCATAAACATAAAATTTTACATTTCATACATAATATGTAAATACTAAATACACAATGCTATATAAACTTTCGAAATAATTCAATTTTATTTATATTTTCATGGAATCGAAAACAGTAAAGGTCCTAGTTAGAATTTCGCTAACCAAATATTTATTCTAAACAATAAATATATGATAGTTTAGACTTTATACAAATGATCTACGTACATGTAATATCGTATGAGGTAAATGTAAAACGTGAACGAGCTCAGAGTGCAAGCGATTTAACTTTGTTTTTTAATATAATATTAATATTTCATAAATAGATTTAAATAAAATGTGTAACAGTTATTAATGAAACAAATAATATCACAAAAAAAATATTGACACTAAAATATTTGATTCGACTGGGATTCGAACTCGTGACCTACTCAATTGTAAATCTATACTCGTATAGTTTATGTTATATAAGTAATATGAAAATGTCTAATGAACCACTCTCAACCTCTGCAAAGTGTTAAGTGTTGTTATGTATCGACGGTATCAGTAACGCGATATGACGCTAATTGTATTATATATAGCTTCACGTAATCTTTACGTACAACGAAGTGAAACGTATAGTTTATAAAAAAATGAATAAATATTTAACTTAAATAAATGTAACCTTATATTCATTGCAAAATTACTTTAAAATTAATTTCCATTCTTAAAGGTATCAATCAGCTTGTCTTCTATTTTATAGCGAGTTTAAACTATTCACTAAAAAATCGTATAAATCGATTCACAATTAACGTATAATACACCATAAATTTTTTTTGACGTTTAAAAACATATATGGAAAATAATCTAGTATAAACACAGCTGAGCTTGATTTTGAAACCTAGAATAGAACAAAAATGAGCTAATATCCGCAGATTTTAATAAAAATAAGAAACGAAGTTAAAAAGCTCGCACTCAAAGCTTCGAGTACAATCTAATTAGTCTAACTACGATACCTTACTCCTAACACTCAGACATCGACTATCAGTAAAGATATAACAAAGTCAAATAAAATATAGAGGTATAACAACAAATGTACACAATATGTCTGTTACGAACTTACCTACTCACTGGTAGCCGCGGCACGAAATATTTTACTTCGCGCGAGAACTTTACATCTAATAAATTCAATATTTTCAAATATATTAATTTAATTTGAAATAAATTTTGTCTATAATTAACATTTTTGTTATCATTTATACATATTTGCGCACGTGATTTTATTTATCGATACACTGTACTTTGTAGCAAAATGCAGTACAATACTAACATCTTAATCGTTCAATCGCTGATAGAACTAATAGTGCCTAAAAAGAGCTAAAGCTTCATTTACATTAGGAAATTATAGTGTAAAACTACTTTTAGAACATCGCTTTAAAGATTTCCATTGATGTGTTTAATAAAACTAATGCCACACAACTAATTTCATGTAATAAACCTACTAAATAAAAAAAATATCCACAAGGATACGAAGATATCTCGATAAATAAACACAACGGAATTAAGTACATATTTATTTTGAAATTGGTTAAATAAAACGCAAAACATGTTCTCTGATCTGTCTGTTTGTTTGAGGATTTATATATGTATGTCGTATTAAAATATTTTTGTGAAATTAATTCCATCATATGTAACACTAGTTTCGCAATGTAAGCGTTTAACGGCTTTACAGCTAATTGTCTCAGCTTTTTTCATCACTTTAGCGCAAATATTTATCAATGTACATATTATAATTTTTGATATAATATAAAATATAATTAGTAGCAAAAGTCTAAATAATATAATAAAATATTACATTTTCACGAAAAAGTTTGCGGCATAAATAAAAACTTTTTGTTGTAAATAAAATGAACTAAAAACTTACAACAACCTTACAAAAGCGACAAAACCGCGGAACGGAAACAACTCTGTTAATTAAGACGCATAAATATAAAGTCGAAAAGTATGTTATTTATTTTACAACCGTGTATTGGTCGAGATATACAATATTTATATATAAAAGTTTTCTTTACCGCTTCGTAGATATAGCTCAGTACCCGCGATGGCCGCTCGCAGCCTTGTGGGTGATAGCCACATCATTTCAAATACACCATAAAATTTGACTCACTTTCTCTTAGCGTCATATTTACACTCACTTTACATTAAACATTATATATAATAAAGTTATTCTTACAAACCCATCGTCTGTCCGTCGCCACCAATTACAGTTTTTGCCTCAAATGTAATTTAAAAGTCATCTACACTGAGATCTCTTGGATTTGAACGCGTTTTTTGGGCGGCGCGGAGTTCGGCCTCTCTTTTAGTTCTGCCTCGCTGCTGCGCTGTGGGAGGCCACACATGTTAGTAACGTGTCAGGGGAGTGCGGGGGAAGTGGGGGGAGTGGGGGGGAGTTGGTACTTGTATACTATACAAGGGACAGTAATACCGACGTAGTTAACGATTTTTTTCATATGTATCGATCGTTAAATCTTAAAGAAAAAATTCGTAGCCAAATTAGCATGCAACGATCGTTAAATCCTAAGGAAAAAAAATCGGTTGCCGTATCGTGGGCTACCAAGTTAGCGAATAAAATCGTTTACTTTTAATACTTTCTTAGATTTACGCGAATATTTGACATTTTAAATAAAACTATCTTTTCGGATTTTGTCGCGGATTTATTTGGATTTTTGTTTCCCGACGTTTCGAATGCTTTACAGCATCCATGGTCACGGGAGAGACTGAGGTGTTACATGTCTTGAATGTATAGTTGTTACAGACAGCCTACCCACAATTAACAAAATGAAAATTGCACCAATTACATTACAATATTTTTTAACTTTAAACATTTTTATAATTTTAATTATAATTGAATATGGAAAATTATTTATTTAATTTTGCTATTATTTTTATAATTATTACAATTTTAAAATATTAATTAGTAATCTATATTTAGTGTTGCCATTATTATATTTATAACCATAAAGAAAAATATAAAATGTAGTATTAATTATTAAAGCCATATAATTGTTCTATGTGTAATTTAAAAAGTTAAAATTAATTAAGGATAATAATTTTAATTTAGTTTGCTATTATTTAAAAAACAACTTACTAAGCAACACTATTAATATATACTTTTACAAATGAAAAATGAAAAATATTAGTCTGATAAGCTGTCATTTTGATCTACACAGTATGAACTTACTACATCTGCCTGTCTGTTATGTTTATATTTATTATTTGATTTTATTATATTAATAACAGGATCCCATGACGATGGTAGTACCCAGCCATCTTCCCTATTGAAATTAGGATGTTTTTTAATTTCTATGGCTTCTCGAATCATTCTAGGGCGATATCGGTTTTCTTTCGCCAGGATTTGAGGTCTATCGAAGCGAATATAATGGCTTGGGCGGTCCTGACTATGTTTGCAGACAGCAGATGTTGTATTGCGACGGTGCTTCACATCAGCTATGTGTTCTTTGACCCGGGTTCTAATGGATCTCTTTGTTTGTCCGATGTAAGAGAGCCCACAATCACAATCAAGCTTGTAAACTCCTGCATCTTGTAGAGGGATGTGGCACTTGACAGGTGGTAGAAACTGACTAATTTTCTTTGGCGGCTTGAAGTAAGTTTTAATTGAAGCTCGCTTTAGAATGTAGCCAATCTTGTCAGTGACGCCTCTCATGTAAGGTAGGACTGCAGGGACGCGCTCGACTGTGGCTGGTTTCACTCGGTCCCTGTGACGTAGGCGCGGCACTTGCAGCTTGTTGTCTCGCAGAACTTGCTTGACATGTTGCAGTTCTCCGGCCAGGTGTTGCTCGTCACAGATCCCGCGTGCCCTCTGAAACAAAGATTTTCCCACGGTAGCTAACTGTGAAGGGTGGTGGTGAGATTCACCATTCAAGTACCTATCAGTATGGGTCTTCTTTCGATACACAGTATGACTATTGATGTATTTGATAGATGTATTAGTTATACGTAACCCAGATAACACCTTAAGTCAAGATGTATTAGTTATACGTAACCCAGATAACACCTTAAGTCAAGATGTATTAGTTATACGTAACCCAGATAACACCTTAAGTCATACTGTGTATCGAAAGAAGACCCATACTGATAGGTACTTGAATGGTGAATCTCACCACCACCCTTCACAGTTAGCTACCGTGGGAAAATCTTTGTTTCAGAGGGCACGCGGGATCTGTGACGAGCAACACCTGGCCGGAGAGCTGCAACATGTCAAGCAAGTTCTGCGAGACAGCAAGCTGCAAGTGCCGCGCCTGCGTCACAGTGACCGAGTGAAACCAGCCACAGTCGAGCGCGTCCCTGCAGTCCTACCTTACATGAGAGGCGTCACTGACAAGATTGGCTACATTCTAAAGCGAGCTTCAATTAAAACTTACTTCAAGCCGCCAAAGAAAATTAGTCAGTTTCTACCACCTGTCAAGTGCCACATCCCTCTACAAGATGCAGGAGTTTACAAGCTTGATTGTGATTGTGGGCTCTCTTACATCGGACAAACAAAGAGATCCATTAGAACCCGGGTCAAAGAACACATAGCTGATGTGAAGCACCGTCGCAATACAACATCTGCTGTCTGCAAACATAGTCAGGACCGCCCAAGCCATTATATTCGCTTCGATAGACCTCAAATCCTGGCGAAAGAAAACCGATATCGCCCTAGAATGATTCGAGAAGCCATAGAAATTAAAAAACATCCTAATTTCAATAGGGAAGATGGCTGGGTACTACCATCGTCATGGGATCCTGTTATTAATATAATAAAATCAAATAATAAATATAAACATAACAGACAGGCAGATGTAGTAAGTTCATACTGTGTAGATCAAAATGACAGCTTATCAGACTAATATTTTTCATTTTTCATTTGTAAAAGTATATATTAATAGTGTTGCTTAGTAAGTTGTTTTTTAAATAATAGCAAACTAAATTAAAATTATTATCCTTAATTAATTTTAACTTTTTAAATTACACATAGAACAATTATATGGCTTTAATAATTAATACTACATTTTATATTTTTCTTTATGGTTATAAATATAATAATGGCAACACTAAATATAGATTACTAATTAATATTTTAAAATTGTAATAATTATAAAAATAATAGCAAAATTAAATAAATAATTTTCCATATTCAATTATAATTAAAATTATAAAAATGTTTAAAGTTAAAAAATATTGTAATGTAATTGGTGCAATTTTCATTTTGTTAATTGTGGGTAGGCTGTCTGTAACAACTATACATTCAAGACATGTAACACCTCAGTCTCTCCCGTGACCATGGATGCTGTAAAGCATTCGAAACGTCGGGAACCAAAAATCCAAATAAATCCGCGACAAAATCCGAAAAGATAGTTTCGTTTACTTTTGTTATGCTATATGGTAGTATGGCATGCTCTACCATATATGGTATGTTGTATAAAGATAAAGGCATTCCATATTATTTTTATTTCATTTATTTTATTTAAAATTATGTATACAATTACATACTATCGTAAACTATAGGCGTATAAAGGTATTGATAGTGCGTGGGATTCAATATTTTTGTAAGCATAATATAATTAATCATTATAAATAATCGAAGAAAGTTTTATATTCTATTTTTGTATCAGGGTACGATGAAAAAGTTCCACAAAGGAATCTAATTAGTTTTCAGTTAAATAAGACGTATGTAAGACACATCACTTAAAACTTAGCTACCTACAAGCTCATATATGAAGTTATTGAGCTCGAAAACTAAAAGATGTTTGTTTGTATGTTTGTACTCACAAATCTGCATAAAGACTAAACCAAATTCTATGGGACTTTTAAGGACAGATAGTATAATAAATAGTGATAATAATAATAGATGTACATATATCTGACATTGACATAAGCTTAGCTTATAGCTTTTTATTATCATAATAGCTTTAAAAGAACTACTAGAGAAAGCTACTATAATAGTAATATTAAAAAAATTATAACTAGTACATGTAAGTGATTTCCTTTCTCATAAAGACGTATGAAAGCGATAAAGCAGCATGCACATGTACACTGTACAGTACACAACACGCGCACGTCGCAATAAACCGAATCGCTACCTCATCTCCTCGCATTATCCCTCTCCGCATCAATCACTCCGATTTGTGAAATGGTGCACTTAATATGAACTGTTTTTTGCGGAAAATAGTGATTTCATGTTTTCGTAATGGTTCGTTGGGAAAAGAGGTCGCAATTCTCTCTCATAAGATAAATTTACTATTGTTGTGTGGGCTGTCTTGTGCGTAGTTTCATTTGTTATAGAAAACGAGCGATCCCCCACTCTCACCCCCTCGGATTCTTCACTAGCCTTTTTACAGTATACTGATATTACAGTATCCCGTGGAATACCCTGGTGTGCCGGGATCAAAAGTACCCTGTATAAATCAGTGGTCATCTAGGGAGAAGGAGATAAATATTTCTTTCCCCCTCTATCAGGGATTCATTCGCGTTGGAATGCAAATTCATAAACTTACATGTACACTTATTTTAAGGTCAATTTAGAGAATGTAACAAATCAGAATCGAACTCAGAACTCATGCAAATAGGGATGTGAGAGTATTGTAAGTGGGAGTTAATTGTTTATTGATTTATAATTAATCATAGTAAATTTAAACTTGTAAGCATCAATCTACTTTCAGGGTTCCGCAACAATGTTGTGAAAAAATAACTCCGTTTGATTTCAAAATATATTATTAATTAATGTCCAACTTAAATAAAATATAAAGAGCAATAATGTACCTTGAGCGAGCTCTTTCCGACGGACGCGAGCGCGACGGGCGCGCCCGCGCGGGGGGTGGCGGCGCTCTTGGGGGTGTTGGGGGTGTTGGGGGTGCTAGGGGTGCTGGGGGTCCCGGGGGCCCCGGACAGGCTCAGGGGGCCGGGGGTCCGATGACCGCTTCCTGCACAAAGTGAGAACGCATTTTTTCTAAAAGTAGGTAAAGTTAAATCACACTTTCAAGTATTTCAAACTACAAGTCTAAGTACTATAACAAGAAGCGAGTTTCTGTTCGCGACACATTCCCAACTTTCCTAACTTCCCTTTGAAATATAACGTATTACTTTATCTCTATTGTGTACGCCTTTGATAATCCTCATCTTCAGTTGTTATAAGTAGATAAAATTGAACAACCTGTATTATGAAGATTAAACGGCAATGTTATACTAATTATAGAAAACTTCAAACTCGTTGCTTAATATTTTCTTCGCTTTGGGCAACTTTTTTCGTATTAATTGAATATTTTTATTACCTACATTATATAATTTTATTAGACTCATTTAAAAAACAATTTGTCTAAATGTTTTATATAAAAGGAGCTTACGCTTGCAAATTAATTTAGGTACATGAGTCGCAGCGTCGCAGAAATATACCGACAAAATTGATATTTTTACTTTACTACTTAGGTTGTTCATGTTGATATTTATTATATTAGGTACATAAAATAAGGGAGTATCACGCGTTTTTGGGTTTTGATTTTGATACACCTTAATGGGATTGGAATTATATCCTATCGATTTTGAAGCCGCGCGTAATGAAATGAATTTTGCCATAGAGCATTACCAAAGATTTAAGCTTGAGCTATAAACTACACAATTATAATTAAAAAAAATATGAACAAGTCAAACTTATTTAAAGGTAAAATATAAAGTGAATCATGACCTTCTCTTCTAGGGCGTCGGTTGTTCCTCCGCTTCCCCCTCTGCAGGTATATGCCGGCGAACACGAGCAGGTTGAGCGCCAGCAGGAAGCAGCCCGCGCCCACCGTCACCGCCAGCGCCACCGTGTAGCTGCGACACACGGTATGTTACCATCATTGTACTAACTATGCCGCGTATAGCGATTTAAACATTTAAAGATTCTAGATGTAAGAATTTAAATATTTTTAAAACATTTAAAGATTTAATTCTTTAACTTAATTTTCCATGAGGTATTGCAAATTGCAATAGTCTTCCGAGTACTTTGCCTCTAGGCACCCTTCGTGTTTGTTATTTATTATTTCTTTTCCATACTATATTATGTATGTGAAATATCTACATTATCGTTAGCTAACATTAAAATAACCAAACGTGTTCCTTTTTCAATTTAAACTTTAATTTTATGAGCTATTTTATTTTAGATGTAAAAATCAATTGTTGCTGTTGTATTTTACAAAAATAAAGGCAAGTAACAAAAAAAATGTCATGATCAGAATAAATATTTTACATCTATTACCCTAAATTTAAATGAAGAGATATATTGCCTCAATAGCTTTTAGTCCAGCCCGGTTAGAGCTTTTTAGCTATGAAAATATAACTGAGAATCTGAATGAAATATTACTCCATTACTCGAGTCCAGTTAATTTGGCTGAAGTTCGGCCATCTATAACCATTATCAGTCGTATCCAGTCGCGGAAAAAGAGCTGCAGAGAAATGGGCCCGCATTAAGACGTTGTTTGAGACAGAGACAAAAATTGTAGGGAAGGTAAACAGGTAAACACATTAGTGAGATTGCTCCCGACCAAATGCGCTGATCAATCTTGTTTATAGCTCGCGGGCACGAGGGACGCCGACGTCTATCTGTTAGACGGCCATGTCGGTTTGCTAAATAAAACACGAATGTTCCGCCCAATTTGAGCGTCTCCGGTTACACATAATCACGCACATTCCTGCTATGATAGATCGAGGTGATCTTCATCACAAATTATTAAATTTTTGACATAATGATAAAGAGTTAGTAATATTTGAGATGGTGATATGATAAATATTTTATTAACGTTTAAATAATGTTATATCAATAATTCTGTCCTTTTCACGTCGTCCTGCTTGGTAAGGTTCACCCCTAAATACCCACGGGGAGGGGGAGGGGGGGGGGGCTAGCCATAGTCCACCGCGCTGACAAATATGGTCTGATTTAAACGTTAGTATTTTAGACTGTTTAGGGTATTCTTTTATGTTCCTTCACTTTATGTAACACTCCTACAAACCTACATACTCCTCCTATATACCTTTATATAATACCTTTAATATTATATAGCTAAATATATAAATAATAGCTATTTGGTATTAATTTTTGTTTTAGCCCCAAAATTAAAACGACCCTTATATGATTTACCTGTAATATTGATTATCTAAGGTTGTGAGCGAGTCTTCCTTGGGCGGCGCCTGAGTGTCGCGCGGCGCGGCGAGCGCGGGCCGCGCCGGCGGCGACGGCGAGCACTCTTCCGCTTCTGACTCTTGCTCTTCTGTACTCTCGTCGTCTTCCAAAGACGGTGTAGTGTACAGCTCGGGAAAAATCTCACCTACAATATGATTATTTTATTGTATTTACTTTAAAAGTAGCTATTTCAAGTATTTATGGTATATATAACAAAATAGTTTTCTTAACTTAAAGTTTATAGATAAATTATTAATGAATTTATAGATAAAAGCAGCCATTCCAGTAAATTTATCTCGGTGCACTCAATACACAACAGGACGAAAAAATGCTTTTAGTTCTGTAAATATTCATGACTTGGGCAACATTTCCGGTGTTAGGTAACAAAAAAATTTATAGCCCCAATAATGCTCCACTCCGCACAAAGTTGTTCAAACTTTAATAAATAAAAAGTACTCTGAAGATTTATATTGGAAGGTAAAAGCCCACTATTTCTTGATGGTATTCTTTAAATTAATTGCTGCTCTCAGTCTTCGTGTAAGTCTTCAGTTCTACCAACATTCGGTTAACTTCGTGATATTAATGTTTTTGTTTTGACGATGTTGTTCGTATGAAATGATGTGAATGTTATATCACAGGCTACGAGTATGCCAAAGCTTGCTCTTGTTGTCTTGTTGTTACTCTAATAACAAACTGCGACAGAACTTTTATTGTACACTATACATATATTTATCTTTTTTGCTTTATTGCTGAACTTTTATAAAAAATCATATAAACAAATTTGGTTTCTCGGTTTCATATTTCTATTCATACTGAAATTATTACTGAATTAATTAATATCAAAATATTTTAAATTAATAGCAAATAATTTGTAAGCAGTAAGAAATACAATCAAAAAGCCTTTCTTTTACCCTGGCGTTGTTAGTGTGAGCTATTAGAATAATAATAATAATCAATCAAAATAAACTCAAACTGTAGTTTTATAAATAAAATGTAGTAGACATTGTATTTTCTCGATATTTCTTCAACAGTAATAAAGGCATAGCGCAAGTCGTGACAAGTTTTCAAAGTGAAATATTTAAACAAAAGCGAGAAGCCGTTCTCACCCTCACGCTCCGCTGAAGTCGATGTTTGACTTAAATACAAGTAAGCTTTGTTGATCAAACTTTAATTTTCATTAAAATTTTACTATTTTTTATGTTTGCCCTTGGCTTTAATACATATTATGGTTTAAAATTACCAATACTTTACTGGATTAGATTCGAATTTTATATTATAAATTAGCCTTTGCCCGCGTTTTTTTTACCTTCAAAAAATCTTCTCCATATAAAACACTTACGTACTCCATGTATAACATATGTATGTATGTGACAACATTCCAAAACAACTATTTAAAGAACTATCCGAGATTTCCGATTGCATAAGCGAATATTTACATTTTTATTTATGTATATAAATACGAAAGTGTGCTGTTGATTTGTTGACACTTCATTATGCTTTTATTGAGATAGCAACTTGTATTACAGGTGTACGCATTATATATATATATATATATATACTAGCGGACCCGACAGACGTTGTCCTGTCTACACGTCTTTAATTTGAAAATTTCAAACTTTTTTTAATAATTTTTTTGATGAAAATTATTATTCAAATTGTGAATCTAAACCATTCCCAGATCCCCTTGAACACACACAAAAAATTTCATCAAAATTGGTCCAGTCGTTTAGGAGGAGTTCAGTCACATACACACGCACACAAGAAATATATATATTAAGATATATGTATATATATGGTGCTACTCTGTTGTATAAATTTGCTTATCGGTTTTAACAAGCCGATAGATACCTACTAGATATTAAAAACATTAACTTTGCATGGGAATTGAACCTGAGACCATATTTAGACAATTGAAAAGCATGAATCTCGTTACGTCAGCTTTTATACAGTACCAATATTGCCTCCATAGTATGGATTAAAAATGTAATTTCTTCTGAAAGTTTAATTTAGATCAAATCATGAATCTTAACGAGATGCATTTCATCAAGTAAGGATAAAAAATATTGTAGCACAGCGACGCCAGTCTGGGCTTTGTTTATTCTCATTATACAGGAATTCGAGCTAGTCATTAATATGGCTTCATCGGCTTCCTTCTCTTTTTAATCTTCTACCTTATTTATGCCTCAAGAGTGCTTTTTTCATTATATAGTCGTTGGATCTTATAGAAAAAGGTCGCAGGTTCGAATCGTTTTCCTAAAGTGTAAATGTCACGAGAAACAATTAATGTACTGCGATTGAAAATACTCGTAATGTGCCAAAAATCATGTCAATCTTATGCTCTATTAATGTGTGAAATAAGGACGAATAAAAAACCTATTAATTCTCATAATATTTTCTTAGATTTACGCGAATATGTGACATTTTAAATAAACTATGTTTTCTCATGTAATTGAGGTTTCAAAAGTTATTGTATATTCGTTACAGACCGTATTTACTCACGATTTATATAAATAAGTAAGAGGAAATAGACTAATGGTACTGAAATAATTTTTTAAGCATTTTACTAAGTTAAGTCATTGAATATTAAATAATAAATTTGGAAACAATATTAAATAAAACTGCGACAAAATCCGAATGAAATACTCTAAATTTTTATATATTTACTTAATAATATTAAAAATGTGCAAGTCAGTGTGTAAATGTGTTTGCTCGCGCTGTAACGACTGTATGGATTTTAGGGATACATTTTGAATGAACGTATCTCGGATATACATAAAAGTTTGTTTTAAGATATACCCACAAGCAAAGAGATGTATAAAAATAGTTTGGGCAATACAACCGTATTCATCAATTTTCATACATTCTTCTATTTAAAGTATACCTACCTATCCTTTTCTTCGAAATAAAACATTTTGCTAACTCTAAAAGCAGAACCGAAACGTAGCAACGGAGTTGTGTATTCTCATAACACGGCAATCTGAGTCGGCAATTAGTGCGGCTTCATGGGACTCCGCTCTATTTTTAATTTCCATCATTTATGAATATCGACTACCTCACTTTAGTCTCTCGTACACGTACTTTAGTCTGTAGGTACCTACATAAGCCACTGTTAAACTAAAAGTACACAGACTGCAATAAAATTTAAAAGCAAATATTCTTAAGTTTTTTTTTGCTGAAATCTACGCGAAAGCTGTACCCCTTACTTATATTATAATTATTTATATTTAGTTCAAAGGCTAAACTATCTCTGTGATCGAGTAGCTAACATGTACGGCTGCACTTCCGGAGATTCTGGGTTCGAGTTTCGGGTCGGTGAATCTTTCTGTTATTAAAGTCACAATAATAGACCGGAATTGGGAAGTCGGCGGTGTTTCACCCCCATGCCGAGGCAGAGCACGTGTCGTGTCCGCCCTGCGCCGCCACTCTCACCGGTCGTGTCTCGTGTCGTCCCACCGGAGTATGAGAGTGACAGGAACAGAGAGTGCACGTCGTGTCTGCGCTTACACACGCTGCACTATAATATCTCCTGCGCAGTTGGCTAGTCAGACACATACACAAAACACAGGGTAAGTGAGGACCAGCTGACTGTAAATGTTCAATGCTAAGACCATCGAGACCAGGTGACTTACCTCTGATCATTGACATTATAGTTTCAGCAATACTTTTAGTGTTTATTTTTGTCAACCTGTTCACTCCGGTCCCAGCATCCTGCATATAATTCGACCGACCAAGTGGTGACTTTACAGAAAAGTGATCCATTAATAGATTAGCAATCTGCTCAGGATCAGTTAGACCGCTAATACTCACAGGGATACCCGGCTTCGGTTGCAATCTGTTAGTTTGCTTCCAAAATGAACGAAAATCTTTTTTTGCATGATGTGATGCTAATATATCCACTTTAATTTGTTCCGCGTGGTCTTGGCACCATTTTAAACGCGATTTAAATTTCCTTTTAGCCTTACACATATTTTGATAACAAGAACCGTTTGTCGGCCTTTTTTGCAACGACCATAGCTCAAACTTTAGCCTGGCATCCGTGTGAGCAACAGCGACATGTTTATTCCAACCTGGTACTACCCGCCTGCCACCCCTCCTACGTACACAACTTATAATGGCAGATTCACTTAAAACAGCTACAATATATTAGTAAAAGTTATCTATGATACTTCTGTGTCTCGAATCATAGCAAATAACGTTACCACACTTACGAAGTTCATGTGGGAAATCTATGAAACTCAACTTTTCATAACATTCCTTCAAGTAAGTTTCAATCTGTTATGGGTCCCTGTCACCCCACACGACTTTGCTGCATTTTATATTAGATTACATTTTTATTATTGGAAACACATTCAAATTACATTCTCCAATTAATGGAAAGTGATCCGACCACGTCATATCTGACTGATAGTCAGGAGGGCGTTGTTATTATTTTATAAAAAAATATTATGAAACGAAGGTATTGCGTAACATATATTCTTATATGTATACAAAAAGCATATACTCGGACTGAGTACAACTACTTCTTTTTAAAGTCGATGTTACACTTTCATAAACACATATAATGTATTGCATTGTATATGCCTTATATATAAATGTACATACAAGTATAATTTTAGAAAGCTGCTTAAATAAACCAACTTTCCCATGGACTTTCATCAATAAAAAATATTAAAACCGAATTGAGATTTTCTTTATATATACATATATATTTTTAAAGTATACCCAAGTTATAATTAGTTCAAAGTTTTGTGAACGCAGCGTGATATGATATTTCAAACGGTCTAGTTGCCGACAGCAGCCACTATTTGGAAGGTCATTCGTTAAAGTTACTGTGGCACTCCATCTTCCTAAACGCTTTATACTTTTTGCAGTTTTAAAGGAACTCTTATTTCTGACTTATTTTAACTTTAAAAACTTTATAAAGATTTTCTTTTAATGAAGTTATACGATGCCGTATCGTTTATTCGCTAGGATTTAAAATGTTTTTATTTAATTTTTGAGTTTCCGGCATACGATAGGTGGTTTTTGAAGCGATATCGAAATCCTTATATATAAGCCGTTCGCAAAGTTTAAGAAAAATATTATATACAGTAAAGGTATATTTTGAAATATGAGATCTGTATAGGTATTTTAAGGTTCGCATTA